TTCCCTACAGTCACTGCTGCTTTGCTCACTCATGTGCAGTAAAACCCTTGTGCCCTGCTCCAGGGATGAGAGAACCATCAAATCACACACTGGTTTGGGTGGGAAGGGACCTTTCAAGGATCATCTAGTCCAACCCCCCTCCAGTGACAGGGACATCTTCAACCAGATCAGGTTGCTCACAGCCCTGTCCAACCTGACCTTGAATGTTTCCAGGGATGGGGCTTCTACCATCTCTCTGGGCAACCTGGGCCAGTGTCTCACCACCCTCAGTGTGAAAAATTTCCTCCTTGCATCTAGTTTAAAGCTCCTCTCTCTTCTAGTTTAAACCCATTTCCCCTTGTCCTGTTGCTACAGCTCCTGCTAAAAAGTCTGTCCCCATCTTTCTTATAAACCCCTTCAAGTACTGGGAGACCTATAACATGCTTGGCAATGAGGATGGGGGTGGAAATTGCCCCCATATCCGGGAGATAGATGGACAGATCCCTCTGTGAGCAGCAGGGAGAGACAGGGCAGGACAAGCACAGCGATGTGCACACTGTCAGCATTTCCCTTCACTTAGGTGTCCAGCTACTGAGTCCTTGGGGATGGAGGGAAGCCCAAAGCTGGGTCTCAGCCATGGACCTCATTGCTGCTCCTGGTGTTGGCTGCAGTGGCAGAGGACACGAGGGGGAACGCTGTGAGCTGGGGGGGCTTTGGTGAGCCCCAGCAGAACCACCGACCGCTGGAGTTTACCTTATAAACTGAAGAGGGCTGGGCTGTCCTGACTGCTCCTCCTCCTCCTCTCCAAACAAGAGGTCAAGACAGGACTTGAGGCCTTCCAAGAAGACAAGCTGTCCCCGTTCTTTGGCAGCTGTCAGACTGACTCCCTCGAGAGAGGAAAACATTACATTGCAGGGTGAACAGCTTTGGAGGAGTGGTGTCAGCAGGATCAACAGCGGATCAACAGCTGATTTTTATCAGGTCTTATCTAAATGTGCTAATGAAGTCAATGCTTCTGTGAGTCCTGCACAGAGGAGGAAACAGGCAGCTCTGTTACACACACTGCTGGACACGTTCACTCTCCTGTATTTGGAGATTAAAAAAAACCCCAAAAACACTGTGATTTAGGGGCTCAAACATTATGGAATTGCTCCCAGGAAGACAGCCTCATTGCATGGGAGAAAACCAGCTTCTTATCCAGAGGGAAGGAGAAGATGGGGACAGGCTTCTCCAGGCTGCCCCAATGTGGTGGTTTCACCCACAGCTCAGACCATGGGGTTCTGCACTTGCTCCCCCAACCCAGTGAGATGGGGAAAGAAACACAGCAAAGGGCTGGTGGGTTGGGATGGGGACAGGGAGGGCTCACTCACCAGGGATGGGCACGGGCAACATAGACTCCACTTGGGGAAGAAGAAGCCAGTTAATTGGTTCCCAGTCAATCCCAGTAGGACAGTGGGACACAACACCCACATCTGACAGCACCTTCCCCCACCCCTCCCTGCTCCCCGGGCTCCCAGCACTGTGCTCCCCATTTCTGTCCCTTCTCCCCCAGGGCACAGGGGACAGGGAATGGGGGTTCAGTCAGCTCCTCTCTGCTGCTCTTCCCGACATGAGATCCCTCCTGTGGGGTGAAAGAGCCCAGGAGCAAAGTGTTCCAACAGGGCTGCCCATGGAGTCATGGACCTCTTTGGGCTCAGCTCCCAGCCCTGGTGTGGGGATGTCCATGGGCTGCAGATGGGTCCAGTGCACCTTCTGCCCCAGCTCTGGTGTTGAGTGTCTCTGGGGTCTCGATTTCAGTCACACCTGCCCTTGGGCTCAGCTTTCTGCTCCAGCATGGAGTCCTCCATGGTCTACACATGTGTATCTGTTCTGCCATTGAATCTCCATGGACTGCAGGGGACTCCATTTACCTCCCCCCAGTCTTCTCCATGCTGATCTGGGTGTCTGAGGTTCTCTCTTTCCTCCCCTCCTCCTCTTTTCTCACGTCATCCATGCTCTTTTTTGTTCAAGTCAATGGTTTCCCTTGATGGCTCTCTCCTTCCTTGCCAAACTGGTTCTTCCCTCATAAATATGGATATGAAGAGGTGTTTCCCTATTGCTAATTGGCTCAGCCTGGGCTGGAGGTGGGTCTGCTGTGGATCCAGGGGAGCTTCTCAAAGCTTCTCACAGGGGCCATCACTGTAGCCCCTTCCCACACTATAAAAAACAGCCCCCACCCCACAAACCCAACCACCCAAGGACCCTTCTCCGAGCAATTTCTTTGCTCTTCTTTCTTGGGTAGCAAAAGCCTTTGGTTCTCACTATCTCCAAATCATCCCTGTGGCAATAACAACTCCCTGGCACAACCCACGCACCCGAGCGAGGCCTGGCTGGGATCTGGAGAACGCTGTGGGCTGGGCACCCCGGTGCTTGCACAACGCCTGGGAGAGAGCAGCGTGGCCAGGGCTCCCATGGGAAGGAGCCTCAGCCCTAAATCCCCTCTGGAGAAGGATGAGGGATGATGACAAACTGCCTGGGGCTGCAACTCAAACTCAGGCTGAAGGTTTCCTGCTCTCAGCCTTGCTTGATGATGAGGCCGATCTTCACAGAATCATAGAATGGTTTGGGTGGGAAGGGACCTTAAAGCTCATCCAGTTCCAACCCCCCTGCCAGCAGCAGGGACACCTTCCACTAGACCAGGTTGCTCAAAGCCTCATCCAACCTGGCCAAGAACACTTCCAGGGAGGGGGCATCCACAACTTCCTTGGGCAACCTGGGACACTGTCTCACCACCCTCACAGTGAAGAACTTCTTCCTAATATCTCATCTAAACCTCCCCTCTTTCAGCTTAAACCCATTTCCCCTTGTTTTGTCATTAACTGCCCTTATGAAAAGTCCTTCCCCAGCTTTCTTGTAGGCCTCCTACAAGAAATCTTGAGAGCCACGTGCTGGGCACGTCCAGCTCCAACAGAGAAAGCTTTGGCAGAGTTGCAGGAGACATGCAGAAGATTCAACCGGATGTCTAATTCATTAACTCCTGTCTCATCCTCCTTTCTTTCATCAGCAAGGGCTACTTTTGCCAACCATCCTATAGCTCCTCAGCTTAGAATGGTGGAGGAGAAGCTCAACATGAGCCGGCAACGTGCGCTGGCAGCACAGAGGCCAATAACCGTGTCCTGGGCTGCACCCAGAGCAGCGTGGGCAGCAGGTGGAGGGAGGGGATTCTGCCCCTCTGCTCCGCTCCAAGAAAATTTAGCACCCATTACTGATATGACCATACAGAGATATCTCACACAAACTATCTGCAAACCTCAGCCAAACTGTGTGTTTTCCAGCAGGAAGAAGGACAATTTTGCTTGACTCTCCATGTGGGAGATGTGGGTTGTTTCCCACATTTCACAACAGGACTGTGATTTCTTCTGGAAGTGGAACCCAGGAGCATTAACGCCAAGATTTGTAGCGTCTTGGCGCCCTGGAAATAGGGTTGTTGTGCAACACAGCAGGTAGGTGGGCGAGATGTTGAGATAAATGGTTTACCAAGAGTTCAGGAAGGTTTAGCTCAATGCAGTGTAGCTCAACAGGAAGAACTGGTGAGCCAGAGGCCAGGAAACAGAAACAAGCATCCTGAGAAAGTGGTTTCTGTATCACAGAATCCCAGAATCCCAGAGTGGTGGGGTTGGCAGGGACCTCAGGAGATCATCCAGTCCACCAACCCCCCTGCCAAAGCAGGTTCCCTACACTAGGTTGCACAGGAAAGTGTCCAGGTGGGTTTGAACATCTCCAGAGATGGAGACTCCACACCCTCTCTGGGCAGCCTGTCCCAGGGCTCCGGCACCCTCACAGTCAAGAAGTTTTTCCTTCAGTTTGTGTGGAACTTCTGGTGTCCCAGTTTGTGCCCATTGCCCCTTGTCCTGTCACTGGGCACCACCGAGAAGAGCCCAGCCCCATCCATTTGGCCCCCACATTTCAGATCTTTATAGACACTGATCAGATCCCCTCTCAGGCTGCTCTTCTCCAGGCTGAACAGTCCCAGCTCTCTCAGCCTCTCCTCGTCAGGCAGATGCTCCAGGCCCCTCATCATCTCTGTGGCCTCACTGGACTATCTCCAGAAGATCCCTGTCCCTCTGGAACTGAGAGTATCCCCTGAGAGAAGACATCCCTTCAGGTTGCTGCAAGGTTCTGGCTGAGCAGGACTGGTCAGGAGCAGAGACAAGTCCTAGGGCAGGAGCAGGAGCTCTTACCTTAAGCTGGGACTTGGCTTCTGCCTGAACACTGGAAGAGACACACACACACACTCCAGCAGCGCTGGTGCTTTTGAGCAGGAACTTTTGAAGCATGACAGAAAATACAGATTTTTTGCTTATTTCCTAAACAATTGTGCTGGGAGCTGCAGGACACTTGAGCACAGAGTCTGTTTGAGTCACCCAGAGAGGGGAAGGCTTGTAGCAGCTCTTCCCCCAGGACGTGGAGCACTAAGCAGAGCATTGCCCTTGGCACCGTCCCAACACCTTCTTTCGAAAAGACCTTGGCAGTTTTCCAAGCATTTCCCAGTCCTGACGACACCCCTGAGAGTCACCACATGAGAGGGAGATGCAGCAAACCATGTGTCCTCTTCTCCTTCTACCCCTGTGCTCAACCTTCCTGTTATTCTGACATCAAAATGTAAGTGCCACCATTTCACATCCCTTTCCATTTTCTTTCTTTTTTTTTTTTAAATTAAAAGATTATAAAGCCACATCTTAAGCATCTGATCAATGAAACAATCCCTACAAGGAGCTGGGCCCAGCAGCTTTATGAGCATGACATTTCCACATGAGGATCTTCAGAGAGAAGGTCAGGGGAGATAAGGAAGAGCTCCTTTCCAGGAAGATTAACCCTGAGCTCCCACAAGGCTTATCAGTTGCCACACAGTCGGTGCTAATGAGAGGAAAGAGATTTCCACTGCTTCTCCTCCCAGCTGAAACATGAGGGGGAGAGATCCATTCATCAGGGCTGCTGCCAGAAACGAGTTGGAGACAAGTCTTCCATCATGGCCAGGAGATGACTTTGACAAGCATCCTCACCTAGCTGAGACTACGCTGGGATGAAGGTTGTTTGACATGTGTCCACCTCAGATCTTGTTTTTAAATCAGCCCTGAGCTTGCTCTTCTTTTTTCCTGGTCTTCCACACGTGCTTCTGGGAGGAAACTGCAGGAAGGAGAGCCTGGGGAAAGGCATCAACCAGCACTTTTGGACATACCCCTTTTGTTTTCAAACACAGCATTAACCAGCAACACACTCTCACCTCACCTAATCCACGTTGTGTCCTTTCTTCTCCCTTTCTCCCAGGCAAACCAGGAGCAGCAATTCCCAAGAATGAGACTCTTACAGGGCCCTTTGCTCTCCCTGCCCCACCTCCTGCTGGCCCCACACCCAGCAGAGCCCGATGTGGGCTGCAGGTAAAGAGATTCAGCTTTCCCAGGTAATATTTCCTCCCTAAAACCATGCCAGAAAGCAGGGCAGGAATGGAGAGCTAAGGGAAGCCTCTTGGGCAATTGCAAGCGCACACCATGGAAAAAATTTCTAGCCAAGGACAGAAGAAGCTTTATGTGCCAGGCCAGGAGCAGGGAACGGCCAGGAAATACCTGATGTGCCATGAAGTGGGGCTGGGTTGTAGGGCAGTCTCACAAACCTCATTCCCTGGTGAATTTTTGAAGCTCACAAGACTCAGCACTTGCTGCAATGCTTTGCTAGAGCAGTGGCAACATTCACTATTCGTGTCAATAATCCAGAAACTGATTTTAACTTTGCTTCAGCCCTTTCTTCCTGCGCACACAAAATCTCTGTCCTTCAGATCAGTAGGAAAATAGTGTCCCCTCTTGAAAATACCCAGCAGCTTTGTGATGTTACACCAGGGCCTGCCTGGATGACACAGAGAAGGGTCACAGCATGAGAAGAAGGGAGCCAGGGGCAAGATACTTGTGGGTCAGACCAGGAATCTGATCCCCT